CATCATCATCATCATCATCATCATCATCATCATCATCATCATCATCATCATCAACTGCGGTCGGACCATCACTGGAGCTTGAGATGGTATCAGAACTTTGTGAATGAAGAGCTCAACCCACATTGCCGAAGATGCAGCCATGAAAAGGAGGGTGTCACACATAATATGTTTGAATGTCCAGGAACAATGGCAATTCAAATGGAGTTTTTTGGACTAGTGGAGGTGCCTCTGAGTATAATGACAATGGAGCCGAAAAAGAGCCTTCGTGGAGTCCACCATCATCATTTATTTGTTTCCCCCAAAAATGATATGACGCTCCCGCCCCTCCCGTCTCTCTCCTATTATGCTAATATACAGGACGTGTATGGAGGCGACCGCTCTAGACAGAATTTACTGCTTTGATTCTAGTTTGTCACATTTTTCTATTTTCAGAGACTAATTTTGATTGTGCATTTGACAATCAGCAAAGACGCGTTTGCTTACATGACAGTTTTCTGCCCCTAAAAAGCAGCAACATTGTGTGGACTCCCTCCCACGCGAAGACTTTTGGTGATAAAATTAAATGAATTAGATCTAGCAGCGTAAGGGTTGACTGTGACATCATATGAGTCTTCCTCTTGAGAACACCCTAAAGCACAACTCTAATTACTTTTAACGAAGAGCCCACGAGGAGAGGCCACCAAAATGAAGAAGAAGAAGAAGAAAATTTACAAATCTCAGTATTATTCTTTAGTCTACAACTTTCTTTTTGTTCGTCTCACGCCGTTGCACCTGCTGTGTGTTTGTCTTCTCGGGTCAGAGTTACGGTGTGTTCAAAGGAATGAGGGCAATTATTACTGCCAGTGTATAGAGGTGCCCTCCCGCGTCTGACGCCAAAGAAAGACACACACAGTCAGGTCTTTGGGAGAAAAGCGAACTCAGCCACCCACACACACACCATGTGACGACATTAGAGGAACCTAATGTTGAAGATGTTCAGTCCGTCACTAAGATGATGATGAAAAGATGAAAAATCAAAACAAAACATGCACGAATATTTTGACAGAGGCGGATAAAGGATAAAGACCAGGATATTTTTGAAGGACGTACAAAGAAATCTCTCGGTAAGGCGGATATTTATTTTAACGAAACAAAACAACCCCCCTCCCCAAACCC